AAAGGTGACGGCAAAGGTGACTGCAAGATGCCGTACAACCAAGTGAATGCGATGGCCGACGGTGACAAATATAAGCACCACGATGGTTCGTTACGCAAAAAGGCCAATCGGTGGCTGCAAATCAATGTAGCGGTCGAATGAGCATTTCGCAAAGATTCTTAATAGGCCTGGTGTCTTGTACGTAGGCAGTCTACAAGAAGTGATCTGGAGGTAAACAACGCCCTGCCATCGATGTCAGGAGTTCCAGAAGGGATGTGTCTCTGGAAAACCTTGAAGTCCTACGAGGACAACGGAACTGGGGCGGAAATAGTCATTGCGGTTTCTGAAACCTTCTCTGCTGGATCAAGCTGGTCTTCCGCAACATCTTGCAGGGATGCCAGAAGACTGGAAACAAGGCGTCAGTCATTATCTTTCAAGGCGGGGGAGGCAGATGCGTCTGATACTGATGTGAGCTTATTTTTGGTTGTACATGGCATTTTGGGTCAGTCGGTGAAACAGGCAGTATTTATTTCGCTGTACGTTATAGAGACATGGGGTAAACGTGCCAAAACCATTGCAGATGTGTCTTCTCAATCTGCAAAAGCACCGATCGTACACAGTGGTTCTTTCGCATATCTGACATTTGGACCATGTTAAGAGGAGTGAGCATAGCTACTCGTTTCAAAAAGCCCATTACAAAAGTCTTGTATCCGTAATGGATGTTTTTCACTCATGACCCACTACTAATGACGGTCGCGTACCATCCGTAGGAAGATCGACTTGAACACATATTTTATCTTCAGACTCAGCTTTCTTTTAGTCTCAACAATTCGTAATCAATTCTTGCAGAAAGTCCCTGACCATTCCAATTTGCCGATCAGATTATATCTAATAGTTTTTATGCTAGAATGCAACGGACAGGAAAACAATAAGGCACAAGGCTTTTCGTTTCGGTAGCATTCACCTGCATGCCTGCAACGTCACGCTCGGCAGCGAACTGTTCGAAAGAGTGCCAGAGGTCATTTCAGATAATGCCAACAAAATAGGCTGTCTGCAAGCAACAAGTTTCTAGTTTCTTCATCTGCTATGTTGCTACACTCGCCAATTGGCTTCGCCTGACTTTACTGTCCATGGACAATACAATCAGAAGGGGGTACAGAACGCAGTCTCGGATGGGACTAGTGCCGACGTTCAAAGATTACGAAGTCACCCCATTTACTGTGACGCAGCACCTGCTATCAGC